GGGAGCATCTTTCGCGGAGGTTATACAAATGACTGATATCTTTGAAGGTAGCATCATTCGGCTAGTAAGAAGGCTTGATGAATTTTTGAACCAGGTAATTCATGGATACTTTGGTATAGTTTTTATGTGGGAAAAAAACCTAGATCTTTAATATCACGGGTTTACTAAGCTAGTTTGGTGCATCAAGGAGTACTTTCATGAAATAAGTTGATTTTCTTTTTTATTATTAACGCTTGTACACAAGCATGTCATTATGTAACACTTTGGATACGAGTTCCCGTCTTTATATATGTTATGGAATCAAATACTGGAAATTTGTCTCTTGGATTTACAGTTAAAAGGTGCTGCACATGCTGCGGGAGAAGTGGATTTGGAGAACAAATTTGCTGCTGCCAGTGAGAGCCTTCGACGAGGGATAATGTTTGCAAATTCTCTGTACCTCTAGTCTAGGAGTGTGTACTTGGGGAACTCTCATTAGCCTTAGATCAAGTGATGTGTAAATTTCCCCCCATTGATATGAGGATTAGCCGGCATTTCATTTTCTTCCTTTATAGAAAAACTAATCGAGTGTTCCACTGCTCGAGGATAGATGTGGAGCACAAGTTATTTCCCTAGTTGTAGCTGATGTATCTCAGTTTTGTAATACACACAAATATGAAGAAATTTGACGCTGGAAAGCAAAATGTGTCGTGTGGAAACTGTCTTGTCTGCTGTTTAGTAAAGACACAGAATGTGAAAGCTTTTATTATTTTGAACTACAAAATGATATTATGGTAATACAAAGAGGTGAAAAAGAAACTATAAATAAATATTCATTGAAATCTTTCAAGAATGACAGTAATTTTGCTTTCTGGTAAGCATATTATGCAGCAACAGGCTTGAACACAACAATGGAATGTTTTGCAATGTGCAAGCTAAACTGCCCTCCTTTCTCACTTGTATCAACTTTTCCCTCACCTGGAGGAGCCTGCATTTCAAAATTTGACACTAGTTTGGCTATCACAAGCCCCAGAATTGGCAATGCAAGGATGATTCCAGGGCAGCTCCGCCTCCCCATACCAAACGGCAAGTACCTAAAATCCACCTTACCACCAGCAACAGCTGCCTCCGTGCCACCATCCTCCTCGAGAAACCTCTCAGGCCGGAACTCATTTGGGTTTTTCCACCATGCAGGATTGTTAGCCAACCACCATGCATTCACAACCACCTTAGTTTCCTTAGGAATAGTGAAATCACCTAACTTTGCTTCATCAAGATTCATATGTGGTACTAGTAAAGGAATTGGTGTGTGGAGTCTTAATGTCTCATTTATTGTGGCTTGCAAGTAGGGCAACTCATGGAGATTTGATTCTGTGACTGACTTACCTTTAAGGACAATTGAGATTTCATCCCTAATTTTCTGTTGAACATTTGGATGATTTACAAGCTCAGCTATAGCCCATTCCATGGACCATAAAGTTGTTTCAATTGCTGCAACATTGATATTCTCCACAATATACAACACATTTTCTTCACTTATTTCTCCCTTCATTTGAGCATCTATTATATGATCAATAGCACAACTTATCTTGTGTTTTTCTCCATTTTCACCCATCACTTTCCTGTACTCAAAAAGTTCAAAGAAAAGTTTTAGGAGTTTTCACTCACATAACTTCAAACGCGATTTCAAAATAAAATAAAGCTGAAGAATGAGAGGGAAAAGGGGTTACCTTCTTTTCTCCACAAAATAATTGTTGAAGAATGCAAGTCTCCTTGTTTGCAAATCTTTGCACTTATTAAGATACCCTCTCAAGAATGGTCTAAGCAAAGGTATAAAATCACCATAATTGTAATCAAAGCTTTGAGCTAATCTACTTCTCTCTGAATTGAACTTAGTTGCCTCAATAAACAAAGGATCATCTAAAGACTCAAATTTGTCATCGAACATCATTCTATACATAATATTATATAACATCAATTGCAAACGTCTCCTTATAACAATTCCCTCATTTTTCAACTTTTTCAAGTCATCAACAACTAGGTCCATTTCATTTTCCCACATATCACTATATTGGTGCACAACTTTGTTAGTGAAAAATGGTACTGTCATGATACGTCTCATTTTTCGCCAATGCTCACCATATATTGTGAATACCATGTCTTGTCCATTCCCCGTAAATATATCGAACACAACGTTACGTGGACGTGACCCGAACTCAACCCCTTGTGTGTGTAGGACTTGATTAGCTAGCTCAGGGTTCGATACAACAACTAAGTTTTTCGACCCGAGTTTGAGTAAAAGTATCGGACCATAGGTTTGTGACATGGTCGCTAGGAGTCTATGGTTCAAGTCGTTACCGACTTGAAGCCAATTACCGAAAATGGGGACGGGCCGTGGGCCCGGAGGGAGGGTGTTTTGGGATTTGTTGGCATAGAGGAAGTAGAAAATAAGGGGAAGTATAGGGAGTACAACAAGTGAAATGTTATTGAGAGGGAATGATAGTAATTTTGAATATGAAAGAAATATAATTGTAAAGAGAATGAAATAGATGGTCATTTTGTTAACAAATTTGGCCATGTTTTTTTAATTTGTAGAGATGAATTATTATGAGAATAGGCATAAGGTGTTATGTGTATATATATGAAGTAAAATTGACAACATGGTGGGGGTAGGAAAGTTTGGTGTCAAATGGTTTTGTGTATAATCCATGGGCATTGTTCAAATTCTAGGTAGGAGAATGTACATAGTGGCTATCTATTAACCAAGTCAAAACTAGTGGACTCACTCATGGTTGGTAAAGCCAAAAATGTCATTCATCTACATTTAAACATTTTTTCTAGCTAATCTTATGTCATACGTAAGCAATCGTTTGATCGTAGATTCAGATTTAAAAAAAATATTTTTAAAGATCAATTTAGTCGTGAATTATTTGATTAGATTTTGAATATCTGATCTTTGAATATTTTCAACTTTTTAGAAATCGGTTCCAAAACTATTTGAGAAATTTTACTTCTACTCACAAAATTTAATTTTTTTTCTAAGTAAAATATATGTCCAAACACGACTTGTAAAATTTATGGTTGCTTAAAGAATCCAATTGGTCTTGAACTAATTTCATTTTTAAGTTTTCCACATTTTAAGATGGCTGCCACAAATATAAAAAGTAAGAGTTTGAATTCTATGTAGTGCTGTAAAAAAATGTTTATATAATAAGGTCAATTTTGAGTAATTATAGATAATTTTTTAATAATAAACATTAATATATAGCATGTTAAAAATGATTACTAAATGTAATCAACAAATATTTGGTATTTCAACATATCTACTTGCCTAATTCCATTGATAAATACAATTCCATATATTCACAAAAATTAGTCAGATCATAATGAAAAGTAATTGGGTGTCAGTTGTACTGTCGTACTGTTATTTTATAAAATTTATATCATATTATTAATATTTATGTTATTTGATTTTTTATAATTAAAATTATATTTTTTTGAAACCATCTCATCATTTCGGTTTTTTTTTCAATATTGACATGATTCGATAAGTTTTTGATATTTTTTAAAATGACAAGTAGAAGTTAGAACACCATACCATGTATATTCTTATGAGACTTGACAAATTATATATTATAGCCGTTGTTTCTCTCGGTAAATTTTTTTGGAGAATATTTGCCTCGAGTCATAAGTTCAATATTTGATTTACAAGGCAAAACTTTTAGAGAACCTTTGCCTTTATACTTAACTTTTGTTATGAACTTATGTCCTGTGACATAGTTTATGCCACTGAGCTTATGATGTAGGCATAATTTGTGTCATTGCACTTATATATACAAACATAACTTGAGATACTAAATTTAAGCATTCGGTTCAATATTTTTATTTTTTTATTTTGCCTTCAAACATAATTTGTGTCACTACATTTATGCCTGAACATAATTTGTGGTAAAATGAACTTATGTGTAAATCATAACTTATAAGTGAGTTATACCAATGAACATATGCTTAGGACATAACTTATACTGTGAACTTACGTCGTGAAAATTTTCATTTTCTTTTGTCTTGTGATTTTTCTCACTATTAAAGTCATTTCAACCCTCTTTTTGTTACTTAAAATTCCTAAAGTAAAAATTAAAAATAAACAATTTTAAAAGGCAAAAAATTAAAAACCAGGCCAAACAGAGAAATTTGTGCAATGACCCCAATTTTTATGTCCAATTCTTTGGGTAACCAAACCGAATTTATCATCAATGCATCATATACTCCATCAGTTTTTATTTATATGTCACCATTTTTGATTTTACGTATATTAAAATATTAAGTAAGTTTACTATTCTACCCTTATTTAATATTTTTGTAGTTAATTTTTCAATCAATGAATATGAATTAATTTATTTTGATTAATTAATTTGACTAATGAACATGTCACTTAGTTTTTTTTTTATGTTGGTCAAATACATATTTTTCAAGGCTAATAACTCATAAGGGTAAAATAAGAAGAATATTGTAATTTATGCATTGATTTTATGAAATGACAATATTATGGACCAACTATTTATAAGAAGAATGACATATAAAAAGAAACGGAGAGAGTAAAACTCAAAATATATAGGTTTCCTCTTTGAGAAGGCCCATCACCCAAATACCAAAACATACATTTACATGGTACTCTCTTCGTCCCTTTTTATGTACTGTGGTTTTTATTTTTAGAGTCAAATAATAAAAATTTTAATTAATATTTTATGATGTATTTTTTTATTATATTAATATGTAAAAGATTATAATTTATAGTATTTTTTATATATATTTTTAAAATTTTTTAATTTAAAACATCAAATTAATATAATTTAATTTAACTTTTGAAAATTAATTGAATTAACTTTTTGTAAAGTATAACATGATAACTAAAAAATGAGGGAGGAAAATAGATAAGAAGTTGAAAGTGGATCCGGCGATAGGCCCAGTTTTAAGTTTAGCGGCAGCAAAATTGTGCTTGAGCTTCTCAGGATAAGTCACCAATGGCAGCTGGGTTAGTTGTATCCATAGCCGTAACTCCAAAATTGAGGCCATTTTCCTTAATTTCCCACCAAAATCAATCTTCTGCACAAAAGGTACCATCTATCTTGGCTATACTCCCCTCATTTTTTTCCTTTTCTAGAACTAATCTTTGAAGCTAAATTGAATTAAATCTAACTCAAATTAGCTTGTTTGGATGGTTTTTATGTATCATTGTATTGTATTGTACTGGGTTAAGTACATAACACACTCCAACTTAAACTTGTATAAAGTTGAACACACGGAGGTGAGTTGCCAAGTAGGACACCACATAGACACAAAAGACATGTGACTACTTGTTCAACTTTATATAAGTTTAAGGGCATAAATGTGGATGGAGACCAAGTTAAAGTGCATGTTTATTTATTATACCTATTGTTTTGAAGAATACATGTTTGGATAGATTATATAGTTCCCGTTGTTACACAATGACACACATCAACAAGGATGAAACGACAGTAAAGAAAAGTAGGAAGATATGAGGTAGAGTTATTATAGAAAAAGTAGGGCAATGGATAAAAAGGATTATTAAATAGTAAGCAAAGACAAAATGAGAAAGAAAATAAAGATAACAACGCGATCACACTAAATCGGTTGTTACAGAAAACGTGAGGCTTTTCGTTGTTACATAATGATGGATTTAACAATACAATATAATTAAATTTTAAGTAATAATCAAATCAAATATTGTATTGAAAGTAGCAATACAATTAGTAACAACTATCCAAACAATCATTGCATAAATATTTTCACGAGGTTGCTCTTATAAGGAAGTTGCATGTTGTACTGATCGCAGAGACTTTGGCGCATGAAACAGGGAGGGAATATTGATCCACGTGGTAATTACGCAGATTGTGCTTCACTGATACAGGGGTTAAGTAGGAAAAAATTGCCTGTTGCTGCTGAAAGGCTAGTCCTTGAAATGAAATCTGAGGGTTTTGTACCTGATAGCTCTACCTTGTCAGCATTGATGCTATGCTATGCTAGTAATGGTTTATTTTGCAAAGCATTAGCTGCTTGGGATGAAATTATGAACAGTTCATTTCTGCCGGATGTTCATGTAATTGCAGAACTGATTGATATCTATGGCTGCAAAGGATATTTAGATGTTGCTGTCAGAATATTGCATCAGATTCAGTTGAAAGATTCCAACCTGCTTCGTGATGTTTATGCTCAGGCTATCTCTCGTTTTGGGAAAAAAGGGCAGCTTGAATTGATGGAAGTTATGCTGAAAGAGATGGTTTCCATGGGGTTCCCTGTTGATTCTACTACTGGAAATGCCTATGTTATTTACTATAGCAATTTTGGCACGCTGAGTGAAATGGAAGTTGCATATGGCCGTCTTAAGATGTCAAGAATTCTTATAGAGGAAGAAGCGATCAGGTCGATATCCTTGGCTTATCTCAAGAAAGAGAAGTTTTATAGTTTAGGTCAGTTTGTAAGAGATGTCGGTCTTTGTAGGAGAAATGTGGGGAATCTACTGTGGAACCTGTTACTTCTTTCTTATGCTGCCAACTTCAAAATGAAAAGTTTGCAGAGGGAATTTGTGAGAATGGTAGAAAGTGGATTTTTTCCTGATCTTAATACTTTTAATATTAGAGCTTTGGCATTTTCAAAGATGTCTTTATTTTGGGATCTGCATGTAACCCTTGAACATATGAAACATGAGAAGGTAGTTCCTGATCTTGTGACTTACGGTTCTGTTGTTGATGCATACTTAGATAGAGGTCTGGGACGAAATTTGGATTTTGCTTTACAGAAATTGAATATAAATGATTGTGTTACAGTAGCAACAGAACCGCTTGTATTTGAGGCAATAGGGAAAGGAGATTTCCACTTAAGCTCGGAGGCACGTTTAGAGTTCAGTAAGAAAAAGAATTGGACGTATGAGGAGCTTATCACCACCTATCTCAAGAAATACTTCCGCCGTAATCAAATTTTTTGGAACTATTGATGATGAATAGCTTCTGAGCTGGAAGTTCTGTGCAATTGCATTATGCTCAGTTATTTGAACAAGTAAGCATGTTTGTCATTGGTTACTGAAAACAAATTCAACTCCATGAATGTGCATAAGTAACTTCTGATATGCGAGACAGTAATATACTAATATCCACCTTGGACATGTTGCATAGTATGCCATAATATGCGAGAAAGATGAAACAGTTTCTTAAAAAGTATTTGATTCTAACAAGATTATAACATTTTGTTTTCTGTCTGTCCAGTTCTTCATATACACTGGTTTAAGTGGTTTATCGTCCCTGACTGCAGCTACCCATTCACTGATTTGATCAGAAAGGATATAACTGGAAGCTGCATTTGTGGGTTAGTTGCAATTTAAAATTCTAAACTTTCTTTTGTTTTTTCTCTTTTCATTTAATCATCATTTATGCTTTTTTTTGGTCCCTTTCTTGCCTAGCTATCCATTCAGTAAGCTCACCTGAGTGTCACAATTTAGTGGATAGGTTAACAGATGCTAACAACAAATCAAAAACAAACTGAAGATTAGTAACCTGAAAGAAGACAAACTCCTGCAGATAAATGAAACTCGAGGAGGATCTTCAGTTACAGTTTCCTCCGAGTGGAACCGCTTCATGTCTCCAAAAACTCCCAGAAAATTAGCACTTTTCTTAAAGCTTTATACACACAAACACACACACACACTCAAAATCTGCCTTGATGTGGCGAGGGTTGGATGGACTTACACCTGAGTATTAGTAGCTAAAAGGGTGAAGATTGAAGAGAGAGACTAGACTCAATAGATTAATGAGTGGGTGAGAAAATATGAGCTCACAAATCCATCAATGAATTCAAGCTAAGAGAAAAGAGAGAAAGGAGGTTGTATTGATCATTATTTTCGTGTGTTACATTCAAATGAGAGCATTGTGCTAAGTCTTATATCCCCAATCTACAAAATATCTTGTAAATGAATACTAACAAACTATGCCAGCTCATCACCAATTAATGAGTAACCAGTCAACTAACTATCAGATTAGTAACTAACTAATGGAATGAATAGTAACTAAAAGTAATGGACCAGATTCATTGTGATACATCCAAGTAATGGACCAGGTTCATTACGTGATGCATTTGGATAGTGGGCCTAGAGTAATGTTAGTGGCTCAATGGGCTGAACTGAGAGAAACCCAGAGCAGCTTTATGGGCTGAGTTGAGAAAGAGAAGTGCACAACAATAGAACATGGAAAGAGAAAATGGTTGTGCAAATGGGCTCACGAGAGTTCGGCTCTAATATCATGTGAAGAATATGAGCATCTAACCCAAAACCTTGGCAATAGGTGGTCCAGGACTTTACAAATCTCTTCGAAAACCCATGCACAGCCTATGAGGGACAAGTGTATTCTAACGGATACCTAACAAACATCAGACTCAAAGCAAACATACCATCATGTCCAAGTTTTCGTCCCTATTAATTTGTATTGCTTATATGAATTTTTTTCTTTCAATGTTTTGGTGTGCTATTTTTCAACAAGTTTGCATGGATCCTGATAATAAAATTGATTTTGGACCAAACTCAAGCCCTAAAGCTAGCTCATGAGGTGAAAATGGTCCAAAATCATATAAGGAGACTTACCAATCCCACAGTCGATGTGGGAACTCAACACTCTGTATGCTAGGACTGGACATCTGTAGCATGAACAATATTAGATGGGGGGATTTACATCTGATAAACCTAGAGAATTGTGATGGGCCTAACTCTAATACCATGATAAGAAAAATGAACTTTGGTCCTAACTCAATATCAAAAGCTAGCTCATGAGGTGAGGATTGTCGAAAACCATATAAGAGATCTCTGTCTGTTCAGGGTAAAGTGGCCTCTTTGATTTGGACAACCAGTAACGATAAGAAGTTCTCTGTTAAAAGTTGTTACAAGGGAAACATTTCATTTGGATAGTACTTGGCCTTGGAAGATGATTTGGAAGACTGAAACTTTAGTTAAGGTAGCATGTCTGGAATGGATTGCAACCTAGGGTGCATGTCTACTCAAAATAATTACAGAAGAAGGGCTTTAATTTGTGTAACAGATTCTATTTATGCGAAGAAGAACAGTAAACACTTGAACATTTACTTCTCTACTGCAGATTCTCTCGACAAGGCTGGGAACTTTTCCTTAGCGTTTTTGGCATCTCATGGGTGATGTCAAAAGTTATAAGGGTCTATTAGTCATTAGAAAGCTGGCATGTTCAAAGGGTTCCTAGTAGGCTGTAACAGATATGGAAGACTATCCCACTCTGCATTTCTTGGACAATCTGGCTGGAAAGGAACAAGGCTTTGTTTGAAGGACATAGAGATCACATTTCTAGAGTTAAAAATAAATGTGGATCTGTACTTCTGGTGTAATAACAATATGTTAGTTAATCTAGATTAGTACATGGATTTTCTGATGTTAGGTAGAAAAGAGTAGCAGATTGTCTAGTTGGGTTCTGTTTTGATTCTTGTATCCTTCTTGGTACTGTTTCAATAATAGTTTACCTTATCAAAAAATAAAATAATAGGAGACCGAATACCCAGTCCACAACTGACGTGGAACTCTGCCAACAAAACTTAATTTTTCGAGACAACTTCATTCCATGTGATTTTAGGTCTATATTGTCCCCTTTTACTACCTTTGATCATCATAATTTCGGTTGAAAATATAGTTAACAAAATAATAGTATGCTTTCTCTGACAACTTAAGTTTCTAGATTAAGTCGGTCACATATTTCAACATGGTATCAGAACTAACCGTCACCCATTATCAAAAAGAATTTCCACATTCTTGGCCAATGAAAAAAAGAATTAAGCTCACAAGTGAGGGGGGCGTGTTGAGAATATAATTAAGAAAATGAATGTGTGCTCTCTCTAATAGCTTAAGCTTTTAGATGAGAAGGTCACACACTTCAACAGTTTCACAAATATGGACCGGTGCATCTGAGGTCGGTATATCACGTGACAAGCTAACAACCTTTTCTCATTTTATCCTCAACATGCGCTACTTTTACCTTTTGCCAAATGTCATCATTTTTATTTTTTTCTAATCTTGTATGACTGCACATCCGTCTAACATTTGCATTTCTCCTTACGCTTATTTTGAAAGAAAAAAAAACATTTTCCAAGTGTTATAATCACAGTGCTTGAATTTTGTGGTTTCACTAAAAGAGTTGGATGTTCCATCTTGTCCATCTTCCAACTTGTTAATCTTCTGGTGCCAAATTTTCTTGGTTAGAGCTAATGAGTTCAGGAAATTCGTATTCCTGCATTTTTATAGTGTTACTCATGCCACATGACCTTAAGTATATAGGATCTTAAAGGGAAAAAAAAACTTTTTTATAAAGCAAAAGGAAACATGGTATCAGAAGTCTGTCAACTTTTATGAACATAGTTTAGTTAAAGCATCATTTTCTTTTTGCAGGATAAATAACAAGTAACTGTAGCTGCATGAAACCAGCTATCTTCAGCTACCTAGAAGATGAACTACATTAAAGAAGCTGCTTGTGGTATCTTTGGTGTCAACAGTATCTTGGCTCCTCCAACTTTTTTCTGTTATATGCATATTCTTATTCACCACTTGATTTTGTGCTTGATGAAAAGGGGTTGCTTGAGCGGCTTTTATTGCTATCTGATCCTGAAATTACCTGCAAAAGATCATGACTTGTTATGTGTTTGAAGGTTCTTCTTCATGGTGGGTATGCCAATCAACATCGCTGACATTCTTCCATCTGCAGCATTCACATGGTATTTTCTTGAAGTTGAAACTGTTTTCAGTTTGTTTTACAAAGATGTTCTTATATCACTTACTTGAGAGGTAGATCGACTTTCAGTAGTTGGGCTTCTTGGGCTGCTTCCAAAATGCATTGGTTGCATTGCTTCTTCAGCAAGTACACGTAACCTGTTAAGTTCAGGCAAAATTACAGTGCCAAGATCTGGTCGATCTTTACGCCTGAGTTCTGCACACTTGAGTGCTAACTTGGCAAACGTCAAAGCCTCTTCCATAGGCCAGTCAGGAACTGCTGGATCAAGCATATCAGCAAAAGTGCCTTTCTCAATTGCCCTCTCAACATGGTGGGTCAAACCCATTGGAGGTCTGGCTGTAATTATTTGGAGAAGCATTATTCCAAATGAGTATATATCAGATTTTGTTCCCAACATCCCAGTTTGCTGATATTCAGGATCTATATAACAAAATGTTCCTGCTGTTGATGTCATTCGGTACTGTGTCACGGAGTCAGCTATAGAAGGGGGGACGAGCCTAGCTAAACCAACATCGCTGATCTTACTTACATAATTGCGGTCAAGCAAAATGTTGCCAGGTTTAAGATCCCGGTGCACTAGAGGTTCTGGCTTGGTCTGGTGAAGGAAAAGGAGGCTAGTTCCAACCTCTGCAGCTATACGAAATCTTAGTTGCCAAGGAAGAACTTGAGTGCTTCCTCTTCGGAAGAGGCGATCATCTAAGCTCCCATTGGCCATGTACTCATACACTAGGCAGCCAAATTCAGGGCAGGCTCCAAGTAGAAGAACCATGTTTGGATGCCTTATGCAGCTTAGAACTTCAACCTGCATCAGAGCAAATGAAAAGGGGCATGAGAGAATATAACCTTTTCGGGAACTACTCTATGACTAATTTTGGATTTGCTTGGTATGTTTTTCTTTTCTTCTTTCTTTTCCGGGTGTGTGGCGGGTGGGGTGTAGTGTGGCATCGTCAATTTTGTAATACACACAATCTAGAGACTCTATAGCTCCTATTTCACATATTTTGATTTGTTGAACACTGATTATGGTCCAAGAAGGACACAAGTTTTTATACAGATGCTTAGTTCATGACGCCAGAACACTAATATTCTGTTTTCCTGCAAGATAAACAACTCACATATGTTCTCTAAATGTGTTCAAATCATAGTTACTTTCTTTTGACCAAAGGAAGAATTCCTCAGTTTCATACCTCTTGCTGAAATTGTGACCTTCCCTGAGCAGCATCTGGACGGAGAACCTTAATCGCAACCTGTGTGTGATCCAAGTAACACTTGTATACCGGCCCGTATCCACCTTCTCCAATTTTACGAGTTGCTGCAAAGTTATCTGTTGCTGTTTCAATCTCCTCTATTGTGTACTTACGATAACGGCAATCACTCTGTGCAAGGGCATCCAGTACCTTCTTCTTCTCTTCAGATTCCTTGAGTGCCTTCCTTTCTGCACTGATTCTTCTCTGTGCCTCTCGTTCGGCGATCCTCTGTGCTTCTTCTGCTGCTTCAAGGGCTGCCCTGCACTTTGCTTTTTCTTTCTCTGCAACAGCCAGTGCTGCTTCCTCTGCTAGTCGTGCCTCTTCTAATTTTTGTTCTTCTTCTACTTTCCACCGGTGAAGTTCCATTGCCTGCATGAAAAAAATTAGGCTACATTCCAGTTCACAAGAGAAGGTACTTTCCAACATATTCTGATACACTAATGTACTATACTTTGATAAAAAAAAAGAAATTTTCACCACCTCAAATTAATACCTTATGTTTTGCTGAAAGTGCTTCCTTGCATGCTGAACTGTACATGTCCATGGTCTGCTTGAGTTCCTGCTTGAGTCTTCTCATCTCTGCTTCTATGTCTTCCTATATTAGAGAAAAATATTTATCATTTATCTTTTGTATTTGGTGCTAATAGTAGTTGGTAAAGAAACCTTCGCTGTCACAGCTTTAGTGAAACATAGGAAAGCTTGAATGACAACACCTTCATAACAACAAAAAAGTGATGAAATTCATATCTTAGAAGCATGAGGAGGACAGGTTCCAGCAAATGATTAGAGTTTGTTGCACCATATTTATGTTCCTATACTTTTTCTGGATTTATTTGGTTAAACTTAGATTGCTTTTGTGATATTGTATCTAGTGTGTTTCAACAATTTTTTGCAGATACTCCTGTAGTTGATGTTGAAATGCATACCATGTTGCTGGGTGAAGACCATGATCCATTGCCACTATCAAAAGAATTTGATGAGAAGCCATTAGCTTCAGATAACCTGGTTGCTGAGAATGATGATCCAAAGCTTAATCTGCTCTCTGTTTCTGAGCTGTTTGAAAGTCGCGGAGCAGAATATTTAGCATCTGTGTCTGAGCTGTTTGAAAGCCGAGGGGGAAGACCCAAATCGTGACTGCTGTCCATAGAGATTGGAAATGTAGAGCTTGGACGACCAGAGCTCACAAATGATAAATCAGATTCTGCCACTGAGAGGTCTCCATATGATCTGTTTATCCCTTTACCTCTGTTGAATGGGGACCTGTTGAAAGAGATAAATATAAATTGAGTCGTGTTATGTTAATCAACCATTTGGAGTAGTACATTTTGCACTTCCTCTTATATATTGCATGAGGTACTGTCTGCTTCCTGATTCTCTGAAAAACTTACTTGATGCTATCTAAATCGTCAGCTGAGCTTCGTGATGCGTATGGTGACCTAATATCAGTTACACTTCCTGTTGAAATAGGACAGGTTAAACCTGTTCTAACAGTGTTCAATTGCTTTATGACAGAAATTAACGCAATATGCTGCAGGTGGAAAAACAGACCTTTTGTGTCGCTGCTGATTTGTGCATAACGTGTATCAGCGAAGCCAAGCTTAGCACCTAGAGATGAGGTGGAATGATTCTGCTGCACGGGAGTTGGTGAACTGGGAACTGGAGAAGATGCATTCTTTGTCGATTGAACTTTGCCTTTGGCAATCACATAAACTGTGCAAAAGCCAGGTATGACTTTGGACACCGCAGTTGGGACATCCATCGTCTTGAATCTTTTAAGTCGAAAATGTCGTAAGTAGCTAGATATGAAATAGTGCAATGTTGTTGAATACTACAACTTATTGGAAACAATAGAAAATAGTACCTGCTAACAAAACCGTTCCTTGATGCAGCGCCCACCACCAGATTCTCTATGACATTGGCTGTAACATAGTCACTTATGGAGGTCGCTATGTCTATGCCTTCAATTACAACTTCATTGACTTGAATCTACGACAAAGAGAGATAAGATGATTCAGAAAATGAAACGACATCTGCAAGAACACGAGGAAGATTGAACGTGTAAGCAGCAACGTGCACTTACATTCTTACGGTTGCAGAAGCATCGGAAAGGTAAGAACAACTCCTTTGCTTGACTATCAGGATCACTTCTATATACTCTGGGAGTTCCATCACTCACATCTGAGAAAGGAACGTTGTTCGAATAATAGGTTTAAAGCCAGAGGTGGATATAGGCTTTGAATAATAGGTTCAACTGAACTTAATATTCTCGATATGAAACATAGATATATATGTAGAAAGAAATCACTTTAGTTTTAATAAATATTAAATTCTAAATTCATAATTTGAGAACTACATAGCTTTAAGATTGAAAGCATCACGTTTAAATCTTGCATGTGTCTATCTTTTGAAGTCAGAACATATACCTCTCTTATCAACAAATAAATAAAAACATCCATGCCATTTTTTCCGGTTGGGATAAACACCACGTGCAGGTAAGTTTTCACCCTTTTCTATATAGAAAAGAAATGTACCTCCATTTTACCAAAAGAGAGAATGATAGGATAAACCTTTCAGCCAAATCATTTACCAAAAGAGAGAATTCTTGAAACAATTGAAAATGACACAATAAAAGATTAAACGCAAAAAGAAGAACAAAAACACAAAACTAGCAATGTACATCAATATGAATGACATCAAAGAACCAGAAAAAAACATCAATATTTCCTATCGATTTTCGTCGATTTTAAAAAAAATAAATTCAAAATAAGATTATATAAAGGTAGAAAAAAAAACCTGCATTAGGAAGGGAAACAGAAGGTCTAACTTTAACATGAAGAAGTGTAACATTTTTGCCTTTTCCAATTAAAGTATCAACAGCCCATTTTAATGCATATTGGCTTCCTTTATCTTTATCTATTGCAACTACTGTTGCCTTGTTTTGATCTCCAGTAAAACTCCTTTGGCTCATTATAATATATGATCTTTTTCAACAAATTTATCCACAAAATCACAAACACAATAATAATTATTGAAAATATTCAATTTAAGATCAATTCTTAAATTGTTTCTTTCAATATGTATAGGGACCTCAAATAGGTCCCAAGTTTCTTTATGTTTTTTTTCCCTTTGCTTAGTTTTTTTTCTTCTCAATATGTTTTTAAAAAAAATTTGTTGTTGAAATTCTTTTATCTCTATATGTATATATGTTAATTCATTTTGGAGGCTCTAGGAGTTTTGCCCATTTATCAAGCTCGTCCAGGAATTTGTTTTTTCATTTATTTAATATTTATTTTCTTTTAGGGTTCTAAGCTTTAGGGTTGTCTTAAAACATTGACTAATTCTTGGACCAGAAAAAATATATATTTTACTAGAGAAGACGTGGCATGGAACAAAATGGTTTTTTTTTTTTTTTTTTTTTAAAATGTTTATAGCTGTGATTTTATTATTTTTCCAAGTTAAACGGTTCAATGTAGCATAAAATAATAATAGGTGGCAATTCGTAAGATCTTGAGATACTAATAATTATTACATGTCATAGTATACTACTAACAATATGAAAATATAAGTACGTCCATTTACCAAATTCATGTAACGTGAATTTAAATACTTTTGATTAAGGTGTTCATTATGATTTTGGAAAATGGTGTAATAAGTTATACTTGATCTTCATATTTTTATTGGTCTTTAATTTGATGACTAGGCATGTCATGTCATCTAACATGTGACATGATTTTAATTTGTAGTGGCACTTTCATTTAGATAACATACTACATTATTTTACATATAATAACATCAATCTAGGTCTCTAGGATAAACTGATATCTTGGGCTGAAAAATGAGCTCATATTATTTGAAGTCCAACTCAATAATATTAGAATTAGAGAACAACTTAAGCTTTTAAGGATTTTTGATGTCTAGTTTCTATTCTCCATAGCCTTCTTTTATAGGGCTAAAAATTTAACTATCACTTAAATGTGAATTAACAATACACTATTTCGTAGCGCGTGCCTATATATTCTAACGCTGAAGTAGTTGATTGACGTGTAACTCGAGATTGATTGTCATTATGACTGCCCAAGTTTGAAGGCTCCTTGCGACATAGTAGGAAAAAACCTTCTCTATTCTCCCTTGATTACAAACAAGACGTTTCTTCGTATTTTGGTCTCTCTACGTATCGCGGTATGCTTAACTCTTTTCACCCTATATAACAACAATCATTTTTATTATAGCAATATATATTCTTAATAAAATTACTCCTTTATAACATCTATCTTTTTCTTAGTGATACAATAGTCAACCATCTTTATACAAATAAAATCCTTAAGATTATCACTAATAAGTGTAGAGATTTTGGTAAATATTTTATTAGTTTAACATACGGATTTATGATAAAAAGAAATAGTATTACTATTCTTATTATTTTTCAACTCAATCTTTATACAAAGTGTTGATTTTTGTGCATCTTTTTGGTCTTTAAACAGTTAATTTTTTATTTTATTTTAATATCAAATACTCAATAGTCTTCAATACCATTTTCAATGTTAACATGTGCCATTACTTGGAAAGAGTGTAATGTGAGTAACAAATTACTAATTTGATAAAACCAAAGAGAGGTTAGGAGGTCAGCGAAGGCGACGGTGGTGCATTTAGCATGAAGGTTAAGTAATTAATATTGTTCCATATTTTTATTTGTTATTTTTAATATATTAAAAAAATATAATTATTCTCTTGTTTTATTCTTAACATAATTATTTATTTCTCAAATCTTTTCTTCAGAGAGACAAGACTATACACCAATTAATATAGGTATATTAATCATTGTTTCTTAAGGAAGAAAAAATGAACGGAGAGAGTATTTTCTAATATACAAACCTGAGTTGGAATCCAGTTCCAATACAAGCAGTTAAGTTTCCTTTATTTTAAGCTTAGTTAAGCAAAATGAGTTGGAACTTTTGAAAGATAAAACATACTTTAGGTCTAACTTAACCTAGAATTTAGCTCAAGAGGTAAGGACCGTCCATACCATATAAGGATGTATAATTTCCCGTCCCAAACCAGATGTGGGGCTGAACACTCATTCACATGTGGACTCTGGAGCATGGACGATGTAAGATGAAAATTCAATATCAAATAAACAATGAATTAAGAAAATCAAGACTTCAATATCATAACGAAAAATGAACCTTCAACCTAACTAACTGACTCTCAAAGTTTCATATTCCTATCAATCCATCTCTTGATGAGGCTGATAGACACAATAATCTTCGTTCTTCTGTTGTTTTTCCTCATCGTTACCTGAAATACAAAGAAATAGTCTCTCATACGCAGCAACCATTTTCGTTGCAGTAAACATCTTCAACCCTCTCTCCCTAGCAAACCCGCCTTTTTTCTCCAAATTTTTCTTTCCCCCTTCCCAAACTTGATACAAAACTTTCTTCAATTCACTTACTGTAGGTGAAAATGTATAGCCCATATCTTCGTTGACAATAATAGAACCAGTAAAACTTGCTAGTTTTGTCGCCATCACTGGCTTACCTGTTAAAAATGCTTCCAATGGTACTTGATCTAAACCTTGAGCTCGTAAAGTTGGGTGTACAAATATATCTATTGCATTATAAAACTCTGCCAATTGAGCACGTTCTAATGGTCCTAAAACCATCACATTTGGTCCTAGCTCTTTGTATCGATCACCCCATGGACCATTTCCAGCTATTAGGACGATCACACTGTCCTTAAATGTCGAGTTCTCTAGGAAGATTTGTTGTAAGGCTTCAAACATTAATGGATGTCCTTTATCTTTAACCAATCTACCCGATAATCCTAGGATTATCGATGACCTTGATCTATCTTGGTTGATACCTAATTTCAATAGAAAATCATTGCCTTTTGAGACATCTGGTTTAAAAATTTCCTCATCTACTCCATTTAAGATGATATGAACGCGTTCTTCTGGGATCATATAGATCCTTTTAAGTACATCTCCAACGTGATCACTCGTGGCAACATGATGAGCATAGTATTGAAAGAACTTTACCTCTTCAACAACTTTCATCATTTTGCCATCACTGATCACTTGTTGTGACGATGAATCTAGAGGATTTCTTACAAGTTCTTGTATGATATCAGAATGTATAGTCTCATAAGCAATTCCATGCCAGCTAACCGCGACATTATTCAGGTAACTACTTGATTTTGTTAGTCTGAGACCTACACTCTCTGAATGTATAACATCAAAGGCCTTTGTTGCGTTTTCTTCTAAAAATTGCTTCCAAGCAACAACTTGATTTAGATATCCTGAACCTATAGGCCTCGAGATGTGAAAATGGAGATTACTCATGATACTTGGAATATTCGCGGATGAAGAAGTTGTGAAGATGTGAAGGTCATGTCCGCGTTTAGCTAAGGCAAGATAGAGTGTTAAGGCGTGTCGTTCCATACCTCCAGCTTGATTTTTTTCTGGCCATTTCCTAACAAAGAGACCAATTTTAAGGAGTCTTGTCTGAGGTGTACGACGTTGTTGTTTTGATGAAAAGACAAGTTGGTTCCAAGCTTTTGGAAATTTAAGGAGATTAATTGGTTCCATTGATAACACTTCTTTGTTATTTTCTACTTGATTATGACAATAGCCATAACCAATTGAATAAGACCAATAGAGAAGAGGAATGGATGAGAAGATTGATAAAAAAACAAGAATAGAGCAAGAAGATCTGAAATTGAAAGAAGTGGTTTGATGTTTTGCCATGACAAGAAGATGGAGTAGGAAGCAAGAAGATATTAAAGTGTACCATCACTATATCAAGCGTTCTAAGAGATTAAATGTAATTTATCTTTGTGATATGACTCAGTTTCTGATACTTTCCTTATATTTTAAAATCAAACACTTACACCCATTATATCACTATCAGAAATAAAGGTTTTTTTCCATCGTAAATCACTAAAAAAATTTGTTCTACAAATATGATTTGACATAATACATAAATATACTCTTTAACTTGGTCTCAATTCATATTTATGCCCTTCAATTCTGGGTGTTCACAAGTAGACACTTAAATTTGTATAAAGTTGAACAAATAGAAATACACGTCCTACGTGCACACCCAAAGTTGAATGATATAATTGTGAAATGAAATCAAATTAAAATGCACGTTTTTGTATTGTGTCATATGATTTTTTTACTTATTTTTGCTTAATTAGTTCACTGAAAAAATGCATAATATATGGAAAATAGATTCTTATGGAATAGTAGGAAGTGTCCTATTTTTTTTTTATATGGAAACATGACTATTTTTCTTTTCACACTAATTCAATTAAAATATATTAGGAAGTGTCCTAATTCTTTTTATATGGAAATATGACTATTTTTTTCTTTTCACACTAATTCAATTAAAATATATGTAGAAATAGCTACTTGACATTTTTCATCAGGAAAATAGTAATTTTTTAGTAGTGGAAATCTTACATTTACAAACCCCCATGAGATTTATGTGTAACCAAGTATATTCAAATGTAACTATTAAACAACAATTAAAACTAAAATAAAAATGTTTTTATGAAGATAAACGAATTTATTCGTGCCTTCAATAAAAAAAGAATAATTTTCTTTAAAATGTTTATCTTTTGAAACTTATAAATATAGGAAATAAGCATAACTACATATTTTAAAAATGTTTATCTTTTGTAACATATATCTGTTGGGTTGTGAAGGGGGGATTAGGGCGTCCGGAAGCTTACTATTTGTAAATCATATAGTTGATAAATCAGATAACAAAAACTTATACTAAAAATCAAAATATTATTATATCAAAACTACATTGAAACTTTAGAGAGAATAAATCTCCCCATAAACAAAAGTCTTAAACAACTACATTGTGGATGTTATTGTTTTTTGTGTTAGAAGAAACAAACCTATATTTATAGAGTCCTAAAACCTTTTCTTACTAGAAAAAGAGTCATAAACCAAATATGAAAGAATATTGTATTTTCCTTTCAAGAAAAGTAAAAACATTTATGGTAATGTTTTATTTTTTCTTTAAGGAAAAATAAATCTTAAATTATGATAAGAAAATCAGGGCAAAACCCTAACAATATCAACCATTAGACATTAGTATTAACTTTCTCGCACTTTAAAAATATGTAAATTATTGTAATTTAATTTAATTTAATTTACGTATTTTATTGCATATATTTAACTGTTTTTTATGTTATTCTTCTACTTCAAAATTTATCTTATATATACATAATTAGATAAATTTTTACTTATGTAGAGTTTTTTCATTATATAAACGGTTTAAATATTCTTAGAAAATAAGGATGTCAGGGGTAGAATTTTCTTAATAGTTAAAATAAAATAAAATATAGTATTGAGGGTATAAGTATTTAATTTTAAAATATAAAAAAATTATTGGTAACTGAGTAATAATCCAGTACAAAAGTGTTGAGTGTAATTAACACTTTATTTTTTAATTAAAATAGTGTCTATTTCTGTTGCAGATCTAGCACGGAGCTTTATGTTGACCAAAATGATTTATATTTAATCTGCGCACATTTCTCCATAAATTTAAGTATCGTGTGGTTTTTTACTACTCTTTTTCGTCTTAAATTATTTATCATAATTCTTTCAAATAATTATTTTTTAATAAATATATTAATTTAAAAGTTGATAGTAATTAAAATTCAAAAGCGTATTAAAAAGTCAAATAAGGAGCTCCTTTGTCTTCTTTTGTATCCATAGGCTGAGGAGCAAAAGAAGGAATCCGCCCAAGATATAATAGACATATATCTCGTAATCCGTAGTGAACCTTTTAATTAGTTCTCATATTTTGTCTATTATTCTTGTTTCTTGAGACTTTTCGAAATTTAATAATATAAGATGTCTAGGTACCCTAAATAGGTCGTTTTTTTTTATAATGAATTTAGCTTTGTTTAGTTTCTTTCTTTCTTCTCCCTCATAGTCAAAGCTTCCTCCGTTTTAATGTTTTTTATTTGATTTGGAATTTAAAAATATATAGAAATTTTTAAACTTTGTGATATTAAATTAAAGACATGTAAATAGATTAAAATATTTTTTAATGTTATGGTCTTAAACATGGAAAGTTAATTAAAGAGTTGGTTAATAAAGTAAATAATATTTTTAAAATGACCCAGTAAGATAAACAAATTAAAATTTTAAGATTTGCTGTCTGAAACCTAAATCTTCTTTGCCCATTTATCAAGCTCGTCCAGGAATTTATTTGATATGTATTTTGTATTTATTTTCTTTTATGGTTCTAAGTTTCTGATGGTTATCTTAAAATTAGAGGTGAATTTAGGATTTTCGTTTTTTTGAATTCAGAATTTTATAATCATCATTTGTTAATAACTGAGTTTAAATTTAATATTTGTATATATTTAATAAATTTCTTTTAAAAAAATACACAATTTCAACAATACTAAATTCGATTGAATCCGTACCCAAATTTTTAGCTCCGCCCCAACTTAAAACATTGGCTTGAGAAGATGTGGTATGAAAACAATTTTGCGAGAGGGAATGCTTTTTGTTTTTTTTTTCTTTTATAAAGAAAAAATAACGAGATTTAATGATAGCTATGAAAATAAAAGCGGCTATGTTAGATATTAGGTTTGGATCATGGATCGTCCAAGTAGAAAAACCCGATCCGACCCAATTTTAATGGTGAGTTCAACGATTTTAGCTGCAATTGAAAGATCCATAATTCATTGTTCTTGCATGCTTTTGGATTAATTTTTACAACCCCAAATATAATAAAGTTTCAAAAAAGAAAAAAAGTGAAGGCAACTAGCTAAACTAGATTCATCAAGGACAATTTACATGTTCTTTGCTTCAATTGAATCACAACAAAAAAACACTTAAACTTCATTTTTTCTATCTTTTTTTTTTGTTTTTATATTTATTTATTTTGTGGTTTCATTGACCAATGTATACGACCCCCAACCATGCATCAAACAAAATAAAAGTCCCATTCCATATTTACCATGATGATTTTTGAACAAATAAAAAAATGTTACACACGAACTATGAGTATGAATAACCAACACTCTTCAAATGTTCATAGAAACTTGAGTATAATCATCGGATAATCCTCTTGTAGAGTAAAAATCATCATCCCCATCTCTTTCTTTTACTTCCTCAATCCTTTCCATTGCTTCCTTCATATCAAACCTCTTTTCCATATCAAGATCACAACAACCCAAAGCTATCTTCAATAACTTCATCATTTCCCCCTCTGAATTCGTCGTACCTCTCATTTCCTTCTCGAATACATCTACCTCCGTCATGTCCTCATTTACCACGGACCTTACCCACGTAGCCAAATCCGTGTCACTCCCCTTGCCTTGTTGCAAGAAATTAGACGGGAATTTACCCGTTATGATCTCGAGGATTAATATTCCAAGCGTCCACACATCGTTTTTACGTGTGATACGACCACTATGTTTGAATTCAGGAGATTTGTAAGCAATCATGTGTTCTTGAGCGTGTTCTAGGTTTACTACGGGTAGTAATGCATAGTCCGTGAGGAGGGGCTCGTAGGATTCATTCAGAAGCACGTTCGAGGACTTGAGGTGACCATGGGGTGCTGTCAAGCTTGGTAGCTCGTTGTAGAGGTACAATAGTCCTTTGGCTACTCCCTTTACAATTTTCAATCGAGTTGGCCAATCAAGACTTGGTTGCCCCCGCGATTTATTACCTAAAAAAAAACCAATATGTTTAATGAGATGATCACAGAGTTCATCATATAGTAAAAACTTAATATCTTAGATGAGATGATCACACGTCAGATCATCACTCTAATAGAGTAGGTAGAGAGATCAACAAATGAGCCCTCTTCAAAGGATTTGAGTTGCATATCTCAACTCTGTTTTGAAATGAATTGAATAAAACAAAGGTTAAAATAGATTGAGTTAATATAATAAACTTTTAGCGCAAATCATGATTTTATGATCTAATTTTAGCGCGGAAACTTAAAAGTATGAAATACGTACCATGAAGATGAACTGCAAGGCTGACATTGTTGACATACTCTGAGACCAAAAGCTTTTCCTCTTTCCTATAGTAAAAAGCTACAACAGGAAGCAAGTTCTTATGACTCAACCTACCTAGCCTTCTCATATGCTCATGAAAATCTTCCTTGCCTACATTATTCATTTGCCTAAATCTTTTGACAACCATAACACGTCCCATGCTAAGTGCAGCTTTATAAGTCGAACCAAATACACCGCTACCCAATATTTCAGCTGAAGCCTTTAGTAGATCTGGCAAATCAAATTTTTCAATATCATCTTTTAAGAATAAAAGTTTTTGTATTGCTTGTACTTCAGGCCTCTTATTATTATTTAGTCCACCGGTCCCCTCTGGAGACTGGTCAGGAGCAGGAGCAGCCATTGCTTGATTGCTGCCCTGTTCCATTTTGTTTAGATCTGCTGCTGAGGGCGCTCCTGTTTGGTTAGTAGCGCCCCCTGCAGCTCCAGAGAGTGTAGGTGTTGGTCTTGTTTCTGTTTCGGGTGTCTGCTTGCCCCGACGAAGAATGATGATAACAACAACAATTGCTGCTACTGCTGCTGCAACTGCGATAACCACCAATATAATTGTCCAGAGAGCTACTTTTGGTTCACTCGTGCATTTCGATAATGGACCATCACAAAGATCATTACCTGTATTATTTTACCAAATGAACAAAAATGAGACCATTAAAATTTAGATATTTAAAAACTATATAAAAATTGTTA